TGGTGGTCGAGTAGATCATGTTGTGCGGGGTGGAGAACCCTCACTCCGCGCAAGGGGGATGATCGCACCACGTCGTGCAAATAATGGTCAAGTACCCTCGAGGAAGTTCCACAGTCTAACAACTGTCTCTGGAAGTGAAAGCACCAGAAAAAAAAATGAGTCATACGCAGCTGTCATCCGTACGCAAGGAAGTAAGCACAAGATGCCGAACAGCCTTAGCAGGATGCAGCGCACCCTTCATGCGACTCGCCGGATATCTCACGGCGCTTCGCGCTTGGTAATGTGAGAGCCTGGTCCGGTGAGAACCCGGCGTGCTCCTTCCCGGCTTTGTAGGGATGCGAGGTCAATGTCCTAACGACTACGGCATGCACGACTATGAGTACCCCCCCTTCCCCCCCCCCATTAGTTTTCCGCCTCGAAGCATGGTTTTTTCGATTTTGCTCCGGGGAAGACCGTTTTCGACCCAAAAAAAGAAATCCCCCGGTCATTTCCATTCCCCCCGGGGCACCAGTTTTCCCACGAGTTCCCCCCGGGGGGATGTACTTCCCTCATTTTCAGAGTCGATTTGGTTGCATCGCGGAGCATAAAAAGCATGATGTTGGACGGAAATTCATTCGCTTATCTGCGCTTCGAGGGAGATTTAGGTTTACCGTTTGTCGCTGGAAGGCGAGCCCTTCCTCTTCTCGGAATCACTCGCAGGACGACACAAACTACCCCAGCTGCTGTCCTCCTTGCTGTCTTCTCTTCGCATTCGTTGCTCTCCAGTTCCTCCTCCCCCTGATTGTTCAACGCTTGCTCGTAAACCTTTTCCATCTCAGTTTCGTCAATCTCTGTGTGTGTGGTGTGCGGACCATCATTTTTTTGCACAACTCCTGCATCCGGTCGCCCCGGTGGTCTAGTGGTATCCTCGTGATCCGCTAGTCGCAGAGGTCGTGAGTTCGGATCCCCATGGGGTGAAAAAATTACGAAATGTGCGGGTGAAAGCGAAATATAGCTGAGAAGCTCTCGCGAGTACCAAACTTCGACGTTAGCACCGTTGACGAGGGCAAAGGACGGCTGGACCCTTCTCGCGTTAAAAATAAAAATTCAGCACGCACCACAGGAGGAAGGTGGGGCATGAAAAGAGATGAAAAGAAGAAGAAAGCCCTGGCGTTTACCCCCTAGTGTATGACCCTGGATGGTTGTAGGTGTACGAAAACATACACTGAAAAGTGTAATACGCGTCTCACCACGAAAAATGGGGGGACTGTGGCCATAGTAAATAGGACGAAAACAACACGCACACAACCCCCGGGGGGGGGGCTTCCCCCCGGGGTAGCGTTGGAAAAAAAACGACTCCCTCCCGGTACGTCGATTTCCCCCCGGGCGGGGGGGCGTACCCTTATGTGTTGCATGCCCTAGCGGTCAGTCCATTGACCGCGCGTCCTCGAGAGGACGGAGCATTGTTCCCACAGGACTGATCACCGATGGCCAATCGTTCCTTTCTACTTTGCCAACGGTGGCTAAAAAATGTCTTGTTGTCTATCCTGACGATATCCCTTCCCGCCTTTTCAAACCCACCTCCTATGCCCCACTACAGCCACCGTCCTTTCCTCTCTGTTGCATGCCTCAAATATCTCCCTGTACGTCCCATCTATTTTTCCCAGCTCAGTCACGTACACTTCCCTCTCCTTCTTGTACAACGGACATTCCGCGACTACATGAACACGGTCTTCGCATTCGAAGCCGCAATCACATTTGAACTCGTCGTCTTCCTCGTCTACCGTCCTATGTCTTCGTCGACGTTCTCGAAGGCCTATGTCCCCGGTCCTAAATTCGACATTGAGCTTTGTTCTTGCATCCATTGGTCCATGTAGGTAGTCCTTGAACCCTATTCCTTCCTTCAACATTCCGTACACTTCTAGACCCTCCTTATCCTTGGATTCTTTCCTCAGATTCTGTTCTTCTCTCTCGGCACAAGCAACAGATATCTTCTCCTTGAACCCCTGTAGACCCTCCGTTTCCAGCGTTTCATCTTCGTCGATGTCGAGCCCCTTCCATACGTCCTCTACAACCTTGACCCATTCCGTGGGTTGTCTACCCCTCTTTTTGTTTGCCCACTTCGCCTCCCATACAATTCTCGGCAACCTCTCCTCTCCCATCCCGCACATGCGATACTGCCAGGTCAGCTTCCTCGCGTCTCTTCCCGACCGTAGGGATTGGATCCCCAATTCTGCCCTGACGGATGCATTACTTATGCGCTTGGAGCGTCCAAGGATGATTTTCGCTGCTTTCATCTGCGCCGCGTCCGGTTC